GGAGGATGGTTCTGGCCTTATGGTGATTCTTGAAATCACGCTTTTGTTGATCAGTCATTGATTTTCTATCAATCTTCTGACCAGTTGCATTCACAGGGTGCGTGTATCCATCTGTCACCATATCCCACAGATCAGCATCATGTGCTAGAAAGAAGCTTTCAATTCTGTCTTTCCAGTAGTCAAAGTTTTCTCCATCAAAGACTGGAGGTTTGCCGCTGAATCTGTCTCTATCCTCATTGTTGTCATTGCTGAAATGAGAGTTGTTTCCTGCCATAGTGTTTTTCTGATGCTGGATCTTTTACTGACACGGTTAAGTGTTTTAGCTCAGAACCAGGCGCTCTGATGCCAATTGAAGGGGTGAAAAACACAAGAAGGGGGGGGTTGAATTGTAAAACTGGAAACTTAAAGCAAATGACAAGGTATTTTTATCCTGGTTCGTTTGATCTCAAACTACTCCAGTCCACCCGTTCAAGGTGATTTCGCCTCTCTCCAACGAGGTCTTAATTCACTATATTCAACTGAATACAAATCTGCTTTAGCAACTGCTAAAACCTTCTTGATTCAAACCACAATCCGGTTTGTCAAGGCAACACTTTCTTACAAAGGTATAATCAAATGTGTGTGAATGTTTCTACAAAAACTATATCACAACTGTGATGTTTACACAAATGAAGCTTAGAATACTAAGTTGCTAAACGCTAATAGAGTATCAGAGTTTGGTGGTTTAGCAAAACTTGTAGAGTGAAGATTATTGATCAGCTTTGTGCGTGTAGAGAGTTTGGAAGCATTAGCCGTGATAATCTTCAAAGCTTGGTTTATATAGCACTTGAGAAGATGAACGTTGAAGCAAATATTCTTGATTCAATGCTATTAACAAGCTTTCCTTTTTGAGCAGATCTTGTCTAGAATGATGCCGTTGGTATTGATTAGCTTTCAATGCACAGTACCGTTGCTTCTTCAATGCACGATCTGGCTTGGCTCATTCTGATTCTGCTTTGCTGCTGATGAACTGATTTGATTCTGTATCAGAGTATTTTACGCGCAGTTCTGTTCATCAAGCTTCAGCATGTGCAAGCGTTGATCTTCTGATCTTGACGTTCTGATTCAGCAACTTCTGATGCTGGTGTGCAAACTCATATTCTGATGCTGAGAACGTGATCTTGCTTATTTTAATCAGCATATCTGCAAGTCAGAGCATAGTAATTTTAAGTAGCATATAATTCAATTATGAAATATTTAACTACTATATCTTTTCACTTTGTTATCATCAAAACTTAATTATAGGGTACTAGATTCAAACATTGTTCTAACAGAATCTACCTTTGTACCTGGTGGATAGAGCAACTGTAAAGCTTGGACAAATATTATTTACCCCTGTTTCTGATATTACGAGTAATCGTCTTTTGTTTCGCATGTAAATATTCATGAGCAGCAATTAATGTCAAATGCATATATAAAAAATGAACATTGGACGTTCTTTGCAAAACAAAACAGATAAGGAAAAACAGTTTGAAATTTCTCTGGAAAATGAATTGTATTGATTTTGAAGTTTGGCCTGTAAATAGGCGTTTTTTGTACAAGAGGCTGACGTCCTAGTAAGAGAATGCCGCTGAATAATAGAATTTATACAATTTATGATCAACTAAACAAAACAGTTATGTGAATAGTCCCACTGGGTTTCAACTCTGCTATTGCCTTTATGTCCTCGAGCATCTCATCACTTTGCTACTGGTTGAAGGTAGATCAGATTGATTAGTGTCGTCCGAGCTTGACAGTCGATACCGAAGTCTGGTTGCAAAGTGATCCAATGAGACATAGTGTTACGCTTTCATCCCTAATTTTTGCCCGGACCGCCCTTTCGGGTTTTCAGTCCACCGGGATACCCTTTTTTGCCCAAGCCGCCTTTTTAGGTTTTCGACTTGCCGGGTGTACAATTTTTTTTCTTCATTTTCATCCCTTATTTTTGCCCGAACCCTTTTGGTTCGCCGGGAAGCCCTTATTTTTTCCTAGACTAGTCGACCTAGCGGGTCTTTGATTATGCGTAGTATCTTTTCACTATGTCTGCATTGACGGGGTGAGGAAGGTCGTCACCGTCCATGGTGGTTAGAATCATAGCTCCTCCTGAGAAAATGTTCTTAACCACAAATGACCCTTCGTAAGTAGGGGTCCATTTGCCCCTGGGATCACCTTGAGGTAAGATGATGCGCTTGATTACCAGATCCCCCACTTGATACTCTTGACGTCTAACTTTCTTGTTAAATGCCTTGATCAGCCGCTTTTGGTACGTCTGACCATGGCAGATAGCGGTAAGTCTCTTTTCATCGATTAAGTTCAGCTGATCAAGCCGGGTCTGGATCCAGTCATCTTCGCTCAAACCTGCATCCTTCATAATTCGAAGAGAGGGTATCTGAACTTCAATGGGCAAGACGGCCTCCATACCGTATACCAAGGAATAGGGTGTTGCCCCTGTTGACGTCCGCGCTGAGGTGCGATACCCATGAAGAGCAAATGGTAACATCTCGTGCTAGTCTTTGTACGTCATCGTCATCTTCTGCACAATCTTCTTGATGTTCTTATTAGCCGCTTCAACAGCCCCATTCATCTTCGGTCGGTAGGGAGAAGAGTTGTGATGCTATATCTTGAACTGCTTGCAGAGTTCAGTGATCATCTTATTGTTGAGATTTGTACCATTGTCTGTAATAATCCTCTTTGGTATACCATATCGACAAATCATATTGTGCCGAATGAAACGTGCCACGACGTTCTTGGTCACGGTAGCAAAGGAAGCTGCTTCAACCCACTTCGTAAAGTAATCAATTGCTACCAGGATGAAACAATGCCCATTGGATGCAGTAGGTCTGATCTCGCCGATCATGTTGATGCCCCACATTGCAAAAGGCCAAGATGCCGTCAAGATGTTAAGAGGCACTGGAGGTATGTGCACCTTATCAGCATAGACCTGGCACTTGTGACATGTCCGAGAATGCTGATAACAGTCAGCTTCCATAGTGGACCAATAATATCCTGCCCGTAGGATCTTCTTTGCCATGGTGTGTCCACTGGAATGAGTTCCGAAAGTACCTTCATGCAACTCTACCATGATCCTTTCTGCCTCGCTCTTATCCACATAACGCAGTAAGGTTGAATCATGGTTACGCTTGTAAAGAATGTCATTACTGATGAAGAATTTCGCCGCTAACCTCCTCATAAACTTCTTGTCATTAACAGATGCACCCTCGGGGTACTCTTGAGCCTTAAGATACCTCTTCACCTCATGAAACCAGAGTTTATTTGCTACCTCTTCAGTCTCAATGTCACAACAATGTGCAGGTTCGTTCAATCTTTCAATGGTAATCCGGGGAGCTTCGTTGTCCCAATTGACTTTGAACATAGAATACATTGTAGCCAGCGCGTCCGCTAACTGATTCTCCTCTCTAGGGAAGTGTTCAAAGGTTATCTCTTCGAAATGTGGAAGCAACGTCAATACATACTCCTTGTAAGGAATAAGATTTGGGTGTTTCGTATCCCACTCGCCTTTGATCTGACTGATCACGAGAGCGGAATCTCTGAAAACACTTAGAAACTTAATCCTTAGGTCAATTGTTGCTCGAAGACCCATGATGCACGCTTCATACTCCGCCATATTGTTGGTGTAGTTGAAACATAGTCGGGCGGTAAATGGAGTATGAGAGCCTTTAGGAGATATGATCACGGCGCTAATGCCATTACCCAAAGAATTTGAAGCTCCATCAAAGTACATAGATCATCGGGATCCCTCCTCAGGTCCTTCATCCGGTCCAGGTTCTTCGCAGTCAGTCACTATCATGATATTCTCATCCGGGAATTCGAAGTTCATAGACTAGTAATCATCCACTGCCTGATGTGCCAAATGATCTACCAACACACTTCCCTTGATTTCCTTTTGGGTCGTGTACTGGATGTCATACTCAGTCAAGATCATCTGCCATCTTGCTATTCTTCCGGACAAGGCAGGCTTCTCGAAGATATACTTGATTGGATCCATATTTGATATCAATAGAGTAGTGTGAGTCAGCATATACTGTCTCAGCCGACGAGCAGCTCATGCCAAAGCGCATCAATTTTTCTCGAGCAACGAGTATCGGGTCTCGCAGTCGGTAAACTTTTTGCTAAGGTAATAAATAACATGCTCTTTTCGGCCAGACTCGTTATGCTGCCCCAACACGCACCCCATTGAATTGTCGAGTACTGTCAAGTATAAGATCAAAGGTCTCCCTTCAACTGGAGGCATTAGAATGGGTGGCTCTTGGAGATATTCTTTGATCCTTTCAAAATACACCATTTCTTGCATAACTAACATATGCATAAAATTTTATGTGATGAATTCATATTTCATATTTAACAATGTTCTATGGGATATCTAAATAAAAGTCACAATACAAAATAAATAATAAATTCGTATTATTAATATTTTTGATAATTTTTCTCCAAAAATATTTGTCAACTTACAATAATCTAAAATATACCCAAATTACTTTTAATATCAAGATGAACAAAAAATAATATTTTCATATTATGATACACATATAATATGAGATAAATCATTTTAAATTTAACAAATTCTTGCACAAACAAAAATACAATTTAAACATGTCTTTGATATTTTTAATATTGCATTTACATCCTTTTATGTTACCGATACATGCATCACATGATCAGATTCATGATTTTGTTTTTCACTAAATTATTTTATCTAGAAATAATGCATTATTAGTTAGAATAAATTACTTGCACTAAAGAATAATATTTAACATGTATTTTACATTTAAGTATACATAATAATCCAATATATTCTTAATTATCCAAATTCACATACTTGAATAATTTATAAATCACGCATATATAAATTTATGGCACATGTTAAACTTCACATAAATAAATATTTTCAACATATTTTACAAGGATTTAAAACATCATATAAATGACATATTTATTTAATATAATTATGTACCTTTTTCACCATGGTTAAGAATAATCAAACATGTATGTTTATCTCTCCATCAAAGTTCCAACCAAAAACTAATCACAAAAAATCATAAATCAAAATTCCATAATTTTAAAAAATCATATAAATTAATTGTGTACCTTTCGCCGTAATCTAAAGTTGTTATCATCTTCTTTAAAGTTGTATACATTAATATTAATTATAAATAAAGTATGAATCCAAATCGAAAATCGAACCTAAACATTGTTAGATCTTATGTTGGGGTCAAATGCAAAATATGAATGAGAAGAAGATGAAAACGGTACGACGAAAATTGCATAAAATAAATTCTAAAGCGTGTGTTTACACTAAGCTTTAGGTTCGGTTCACCCCACCAATTTAGGCAAATTGAATACAAATGAGTTAACCGACAAATTCTCTTCAGGATACTTTAGAAACCTTAACATAAATTACATATCCACATTAAGTATATCGATCAACAATATTTTACCGAATAAAGTTCTCTTATTTATTCTTGTGCACTAGAAAAATAAAGGAATGACTTAGATATGATTTTTAACACTTCAAACATTAGAGAAATTTGTACCATTTGGTGGAAGGAGGCTTCTTTTTAATTACCGGTAACATACAGTTAAATATATATTTTCGTTCAGACTTGTTTACAAATATTGTAATGTTTTAGTGGAAATTCATGCATCCTTTGACGCCTAGTACACGGGATCAAAACTGATGGGATGTAACTTTTTGCTTTATTTTTCTCACTTATTTACAATATGTTCTAGAAAAGCCAAAAATACCCTTTTTTTCATATTGTTCAATCATAGCTTCTGATTTGAATCTCACGTTTGAATTTTTTGGGCCCAAAATCCATCATTGAAAATATCCCCTAATCAATGTGTGAGGAGCTCAGTTTCTCACACAAACTTGATATTTGACGGATACATCCATATTTCTCAGGTTAGCATCGGTTATTTAGTTCAAAGATATTTTTGCTATTGTATTATTCGTTTTAGTTAGGGTTTTGTAATCTCAATTTTTTTGCTAAAATTTGTCACTTCACTCTCTGCAAAATCAATTTTCATCATAGCAACTCTCATTGTAATGTAAAATTAACTTGAATTCAAACTCGATTTTGCTTTTGTAGGTTAATTCAATGGATTCACTGATGCTTAGTGGAACCGGAAAGCTCACAATGTTTAACAACAGAACCCCGAATGGATTAGGTTTCACAACTTCATATTTCAAGGTAAGACCTTAAGTTTCCCCGAATCGAGTATCAATGCCACTACTAGGGTTTCATATTTGAGGACCAATTTAGTACCTAAGTGTAGTAGTATATTTCATGAGAAATTGATTTTTGTTCTTGCTGGTATATTGTTATTTGAGGTTTTTATGGCCAATTATTTCATTTTGCAATTTTCTCCAGTGTAGGATGCAGATCCAAGGCCCTGACTATTTAGTTCTGATGTCAAGTAGATACAGTAGTCCTCTTGATTGTGCCGCTAAAAATTTTAAAACTGAAGGGGTGTGGAAATTCTGCAATATTATGGTTATTGATTAATGTGTTATACCTATTGATGGAATTCATTTGGTTGTGATTTTGCTTGATTATTCTACCAGTTTTGGTTAATAGTTATGCTAACAACGTGGCAAAGACTCTAATTCAGAGAAATCCAGATAAAAATTGTCATAGAAATCTGTTTTTGGTTTTGAGTTCTGTAAGCTCTCTCAAACTTTTCTTCATCTGTTTCTAAATTGCCAAATATTAAAATAAACTAGAGATTAGCGAGGCCTGAAATGTTTTGTTTTTTGTTTCGTAGATCTACAAGACGATAGCTTTGAAAGGGTGCTATACAGGTCATGATTTGGTTTTATTGGTATGTTCTTCAGGCTGAAGTAGGGTTGCTAGACTAGCAATCGCTTCGGTTTTGATTCATTCTTTCTGGTTTTGTAGCTCAACGGGAATTTTCATGCTGCCAAACCAACACCCTTGTAGGTCTGTCATCATCATGCCTATTCGATAATTTCCTGTTTGATTTTATATTACTATATAACATTACTCCAATATGCTTTATTTTAATCTTTCTGGATCAAGGAGACTATTGACGAAGCTGGCATGTTGATGAATGAGATATTGTAACGGTATTAGTGGAAAGTGAACCAGAGGCTTTTCACTTTGGATATCATGTACATTTGGTAATGTTGCAGATATTGGAAACACTTTGGACGAGATGTATTCGATTTATCAAAACCGTGCAACCACCACTTTCGCCGCCACTGGTAAAGTAAAATCAACTAGAAACATCAATATCATGTTGCAATATAAATTTTATTCTGAAAAGATTTATTTTAATGATAACTTAAGGGTTTATTTCATATCTCATGCAAATTAGTTTTAATCCGGCTACTAATAAATGAATGAGCTGGTTTTGTGTTAATTTTGCAGGCTTATTATGACATGGTTGAAAAGTTAAGTATTATTTATTTCTTAGAAAGCTAACATGTTGAGCATTGACTTATGTTGCGTATTGTTTATTTCTTACAAAGTTAACATGTTCAAAATTCATATTTCTTTGAACTACATCTCTTCCCGACTGATGGTGAACGAGACTTAGTCTTTCAAACATAAGTTAACATGTTGAGCATTGACTTGTGTTGCGTATTAGTTCATGCTGTGTTATAGTTCATAACTACTACACTGTAATTTCTGAGTTCTTTTATGTAATGATATTGTCATCTAATTATTGTAGTGTTGTAAAGTTGAAAAATAGTTCACTATATAACATATAATGTAGTTTAAAAAAAGTGAAGTGTTGAATAATAAATTTTAACTCTTTTAAAAATAATAAAAAAATTTGGTTGAATAATTATTGTAGTGTTGTAAAGTTGAAAAATAGTTCACTGTATAACATATAATGTAGTTTAAAAAAAGTGAAGTGTTGAATAATAAATTTTAACTCTTTTAAAAATAATAAAAAAAATTGGTTAAATAATTTAATTTTTCTTTTATTTTATTTTTACTATATTTTAGAAACAAATGTGTATATCATACCAGAATTCGTGCAAATTTATGGATTATTACATTTTTTAGTAAATATATTTTAAATAATACATGAATAAAACACGGGAAAAATATATTTATTTATGTTAGTAATATTTATTTATACAATTAAAGTAATATTTTCAAATACTATGTTATTACTTGATATCTATAAAACTAAATGATTGCATAATTATTTTTATAAATAATATTAAAACAAATTTAATATTTACCTACAACAAAATATAAGGTTGATTTACATATTTGTATATATGAAAGAAAAAAACATGTTTATGCGCCAATATAAGTAATATGTTTTTATTTTAAAAATAATAAATTTTCTCTGTTAAATAATATTTTCTTTCTATTTTTTTTATTCTTATTACATTTTAGGAACATATGCGTGTAACACACAAGTACATGTACGAATGTACGGGTGTCTAGATCATAATTCGTACGAATTCACATATTATTATATTTTATGTGCAATTAAAGAAAATAAAATTAAAAATATTTAAAATAATATATGAATCCTAAAATGGAAAAAATTTGTTGTTTTTTAATTATTTATGTTATTAATATTTTTATTTTGAAATTAGTTTTAATTTAACGTACAATATTTTTTAGGATAATTGAAATATATATTATTATATAAAATAATTTTAATAAGGTAGTTTTGTTTTTATTTAAAAATATATCTTTTTTTTAGATAATAAACTCTTTTGAGAAAATAAATTTTGTTTTTTTTATTTACATTTTGAAAACAAAAGCGTGAATTTCACACCAGAATCTTTTCGAACGCAGAGTATCCTATTAATAAACAAATAAATTCTAAATATTAACATAGTCAACATTCAAACTCATGATATTTGATTCAAAATTCAAAGTCACAACTCACATCCACTACACCAATGCAACTATAAATAATTTAAATTTCCTTAAATGAATGTTTTGGTATAAATCATTATCAATCATCAAATAAATATTTCCGAAATTTCACCAACAACAATGAGAATATGGTAAGGTCGCTCGCAGACACGGTATATTTAGCACCTAAAAAAATTGCACAAATTTATATTAATGGCCGCATTAAAAAAAATAGAGTTGGAACAATATATACATATTAAAGGTGCGCATCTAAAACTTTAATAATAAAAAAATGTAAGTAAAACATACATGTGGTAGGGACCATTTTACTATCCTTGTTATTGTGGGACTGGGTGAGAATTAAAAATTAAACATCACATTTTTAGAACGAATTTTTCTACATGTGTCCATCTTTGAAGGATTGTGTGGTACAGAAGGAAAATAAAGACTAAAGTCCTATGTAAGATGTGACGTGACGCACATGAACTATGCGAGAAAAGTATGATTAACAAGAGAACTCTTGGTTTAGAGTAAAGTCAACAAGTCAACCATTACTGTTCAAGTGGTTTCTTTTTTAAAGGTTACCACCTCTTACTCTTCTATCATTCATTCACTTTGGAACTTAGTTTCTACTATATCAGAAGAATTGGTTGAACACAGGTTAATCCTTCCCACTCTATTTTATTACTAAATTTGTTGCTTTCATGTTTGAGAGGTCACTGCATAGGAACTGCGTTTCACACGTTGCTTTCAAATTTGATACTTATTTGGTCTATGCTTGTTGTCTTGTTTCTAACAACAGTCTGCTTGATTCCTCTATTACAGGTTTCTTTTTCTGTTAACAATATGACTAAACATGCTCTTCAAGAGTCCCTTTTGAACGCTTCTGAAGAAAATCAGATTTTAACCAGTTATTCAAAGGCTGGATTTTTCAGCATTCTTACTTTCTCATGGATGACTCCACTTATAACATTAGGGAGTAAAAAGACTTTAAACCATCAAGACCTTCCTCTTCTTTCTGCCAATGACACTGCCTATGGATCTTTTTCTACTTTTAGAAATAGGCTTCAGTTGGAGTGTGGTAATGTTAGGACTGTGACAACTATTAAGCTCGTCAAGCTGCTCTTCTTATCAACATGGAAAGAGATTCTTATATCTGGCTTATTTGCATTCTTGTACGTATGTGCTACTTATGTAGGACCCTACCTTATTGAAAATCTTGTTCAATATCTCAATGATGAAAACAAGGTTAAGAATGAAGGCTATGTTTTGGCTACAGCATTTGTTGTGGCAAAGCTTGTTGAGTGTCTTTCGCAAAGGCACTGGATGTTTAAGTTTCAACAGGTTGGTGTTAGGATGCAAGCAATGTTGGTGTCAATGATCTATGCTAAAGGTTTGACACTGTCGGGTCAATCAAAAGAGGGACATAGCAGTGGCGGAATCATCAACTTAATGACTGTTGATGCTCAAAGGATAGGTGAGTTTTGTTGGTATATGCACGATATATGGATGGCTGTTCTACAAATTTCTCTGGCTTTGTTTATTCTTCATAGAAGTGTCGGGGTTGCTTCAGTGGCCGCTTTTGCTGCAACTGTTATTGTGATGTTGCTAAACCTTCCTGTGACTTCACTGCAAGAGAAGTTCCAAGCTAAGTTAATGGAGTTCAAGGATAAAAGAATGAAGGCAACGTCTGAGGTTCTAATGAACATGAGGATTCTCAAACTGCAAGCATGGGAGATGAAGTTCTTATCAAAGATTATTCAGCTCAGGAAGTTAGAGGAGACATGGCTAAAAAAATTTCTTATTGGTAATGCAATTGTTAGATTTCTCTTCTTTAACGCACCGACGTTTGTTGCTGTGGTCACTTTCGGTGCTTGTGTTCTTCTAGGGATTCCACTTGAATCAGGAAAGATCTTATCCGCTCTTGCAACATTTCGAATTCTCCAAATGCCTATCTATGGTCTTCCTGACACAATTTCAATGATTGCACAAACCAAAGTTTCCCTCGATAGGATCGTCACTTTTCTTCGTCTAGATGATTTGCAGGCTGATGTAGTGGAGAAGCTTCCGCGAGGTAGTTCTGATATAGCAATTGGAATAGTTGATGGAAATTTCTCTTGGGATCTTTCCTCTGTCAATACAACTTTGAAAAACATAAACCTCAGAGTTAGTCATGGTATGAGGGTTGCTGTATGTGGTACTGTTGGATCAGGCAAGTCGAGTTTACTTTCTTGTATAATAGGTGAAATACCAAAGATATCTGGTAACTTGAAGGTGTGTGGAACTAAGGCTTATGTTGCTCAATCACCATGGATTCAGAGTGGAAAGATAGAAGAGAACATACTGTTTGGAAGAGGGATGGATAGGGAAAAGTATGAGAAGGTGCTAGAAGCATGTTCGTTGAAGAAAGACCTAGAGGTTTTACCATTTGGTGATCAGACCATTATTGGAGAGAAGGGAATTAATTTGAGTGGTGGACAGAAGCAAAGAGTACAAATAGCGCGTGCACTTTACCAAGATGCCGATATATATCTTCTCGATGATCCCTTTAGTGCCGTTGATGCTCATACAGGATCCCATATCTTTAAGGTACTATTTTCTTAGCTCTACTGTCTTCAATACATTCTCTTGTTGTCTTTTTGAGAATGCTAAGTTTCTTGGAATTTTTATGTTTCTGATCTCTCTATAAACTCCTATAGCATATTTATTCATGTACACATCGCGTAGGCAAAGAAAGAGGTTATTAGAAAGCCAAGCCAGTGCAGAGAGATAAAGTATAGTTTTGCACCTAGTTTTTCTCATACATAGAGAGGTAGCTCGAGCGGTTCAATGGTAAACTTATAAACTAGACAGTAGTATTTAAACACGAATAATAGAAAGGGTGCTGCAGCCGCTCTTCTATCAAAGAAACAGGCACTATTGGCTGAACTCATTGATCAAATATAGTGTGTTCTTCATATCTGTTTTCTTTTGAACCAGGGTTGCTGTTCTAACATATACGGTTATAACATCAAGAATTTGGGTTGTTCAATAACTGTACATTTACTACTACTGTAATGTTTCAGGAGTGTTTGCTTGGCCTTTTGAAAACAAAAACTGTGATCTACATAACACATCAAGTAGAGTTCTTACCTGACGCTGATTTGATACTTGTGAGTATTTTATATATTTCATCATGCTCCTTGATTCAAAGTATCAAACCTTAGAGCTTACTGTTTTCTGAGTACTTTTCTCTTACAATTCATTTAGGTCATGAAAGAAGGAAGGATAACTCAATCAGGAAAATACAACGACATTCTTACGTCAGGAACTGATTTTATGGAACTTGTAGGCGCACATAGAGCAGCGTTGTCTTCAGTTAAATCCTTAGAGAGAAGGCCTACGTTCAAAACATCCGGAGAAGACACAAGTTCATTAAGTGATTTTGAACTTGAGCAAGAAATCGAAAATGTAGATGATCGAAACAGCAAGTTAGATGAGACAATTGTGTCGAAAGGCCAACTTGTTCAAGAGGAAGAACGTGAAAAAGGTAGTGTTGGGTTTAAAGTGTTTTGGAAATACATAACAACAGCTTATGGAGGAGCTCTTGTACCTTTCCTATTGCTTTCACAGATACTCACTGTGGTTTTACAAATCGCAAGCAATTATTGGATGGCTTTGGCAACTCCTGTTTCCGCAACTGAAGAACCTGATATTGGAAACTTTACTCTGATGGTTGTCTATGTTTCTTTGGCTATTGGAAGTTCCATTGGCACCCTTGGCAGAGCCGTTCTTGCTGCGATAGCTGGATACAAGACCGCCACCATGCTCTTCAATCAAATGCATTTGAGCTTCATTCGAGCGCCAATGTCATTTTTTGATTCCACCCCAAGTGGAAGAATTCTTAATAGAGTATGCCATTACATGTCAATAATTTTATATTTTGGAAACAGATTAAATTTTAAGTCACCCTTTCTTTTAGGCCTCGTCAGACCAAAGTACAGTAGATATGAACATCTCAAATCTAGCATGGGGTTTCACCTACAATATGGTTCAGCTATTGGGAAGTATTTCTGTGATGTCTCAAGCAGCATGGCAGGTGTTCATAGTATTGATTCCTGTCATGGCAGCTTGCATTTGGTACCAGGTACTCACTCCGTCTCCACATTTTTTTAAACTAGTAGTTGCAAATAAATAATGTTATACTAGTGGGAAAAAGTGACACAAAACATTAGCACTATTTATGCCTACTAACAAAATGCTTCTCTATATGCAGCGATACTACTCAGCATCAGCACGAGAATTAGCACGATTAACCGGTGTATGCCAAGCACCAGTTATACAACATTTTTCTGAAACGATATCTGGATCAACAACCATAAGAAGTTTTGAGCAAGAATCAAGATTTACTGAATTGAATATGCAATTGATAGACAAATATTCTCAACCTAAATTATACAGTGCTAGTGCAATGGAATGGTTGAGTTTCAGATTGGATCTTTTATCCTCTACCATATTTGCCTTCTGCTTGGTTTTCTTGGTATCTTTTCCAAGTTCAATTGCTGATCCTAGTGAGTATTTCAATTTTTATTTACATACATTTAATAGACACACATGCTCATCTTGAATCCCGACATAGGCTTAAAACTTCATTCCTTTCCAGGTATTGCGGGATTGGCTGTGACATATGGAATTAATCTAAATGCTATACAAACTAATTTAATTTGGTTTCTTTGCAACTTGGAGAACAAAATTATATCTGTAGAAAGAATACTTCAGTACACCTCCATCCCAAGTGAAGCACCCCTTATAATAAAAGGCAATCAACCAGATCATTCTTGGCCATCATCTGGAGAGGTTCATATCCAGGATTTACAGGTACTGCACCGTTCAATTACAATTTACATGATTTCAAAACCTATTGATAAGTTACCGTCATATAGATCATATTTGTAAAATTATAGAAATAGCTTATACAGAAGCACTTATACGATAAGCCCTTACTTGTATAAACACTTAATTTAGTTGTTTATCCAAACAAGTGTCTCAAGGTACTTTAGTTTGCAGCTATCTTTAAATAATGCATTGTACAGGTTCAATATGCTCCTCACTTGCCTCTTGTTTTACGTGGACTAAAATGCACTTTCACCGCTGGAGCAAAAACTGGCATTGTCGGAAGAACTGGAAGTGGAAAGTCAACACTTGTGCAAGCACTTTTCAGACTTGTTGAACCTGTCGCAGGACAAATATTGATAGATAACATCAACATCTCATTGATTGGAATCCATGATTTACGGTCCAGACTCAGCATAATTCCTCAGGATCCAACAATGTTTGAAGGGACTGTAAGAAGCAACCTCGACCCCCTGGAAGAATACACAGATGAACAAATTTGGGAGGTAAACTGGTTTTGCTAGAATTAAAGAAATAACCGATCCTTTTACTGCAAGCTTTATAAATTAATATATCTAATGAAATGTTTTAGGCTTTAGATATGTGCCAACTAGGAGATGAAGTGAGGAAGAAAGAAGGAAAGCTCGACTCAACAGGTTCGACTTCTCAAACTTTTAAGCACATATATACTCCTTCTATTCCATATTAGAAGTTAATTCTATCCATTATGAGATCTGCAGTTACTGAGAATGGAGAAAACTGGAGCATGGGTCAAAGACAGTTGGTTTGCCTCGGCCGTGTTTTACTTAAGAAAAGCAAGATATTAGTGCTTGATGAAGCAACTGCATCAGTTGATACAGCAACAGATAATATTATTCAGCAGACGGTTAAGCAATATTTCTCTGATTGCACGGTCATTACCATTGCTCATAGAATAACTTCAATCCTTGATAGCGATATGGTTCTGTTTCTCAGTGAAGGTAAGAACATGTTGTTCGTTCCATGTTTGTTACTATTCTTTTACACATAAATGTGAGCATGATTTTTCTTCATATTGATCATATAGGTCTTATTGAGGAATATGATTCACCAAAGAAGTTGCTTAAGGATAAATCTTCGTCTCTTGCTCAACTAGTTGCAGAATACACAAGGAGATCAAACACTGGTTTTGGAAGTTGAGAGCTGAAACTGAACAGAAATTAAACAGACTAGAAGTTATAAGATTGAAAGAAGGGTACAAAATATAAGAATATATGTTTTGTAAGTATTACTGAAGCTTGACCGTTATAGAAGAAAATAAACATTTGTTTGAATTAATGTAAGTTAAATTTATTGTAAGTGGTAGTGAGAACAAATTTGTGTGAGAGGTAAAAGGAAACTGTTGTCGCATCACAGTTCAAGTGTGTGATAGGGCTGAGAGTGAGAAAATAAAGGTTGAGATAGATTGGATGTTAAGGACTGTTACATATTTTCAGCTCAACAGATTTACAAAATTAACATAGGGCATATCCTTTTGCCTTTGTCGGAGAAGCTTACTGCAGCTGGAGTTTTATGATAAGTTTTTAATATTTTTTTAATTAAAGAGAGAGAGGTAACAACATGTCACTATATCAAATGTCAGATGTATCAGACGGTTAATAATAAGCCAAAGTTAGGGCACAGCTTCCACGTCAAAGTTAGACGATTCATTCCGAGTCAGACACAGTTGTTTTGTTGTCTTGATATAATTGCTTAGAAAAGTGAAGTAATTGTCTTGGTAGAGTTGCTTAGAAAAGTAAGTAGTGGTTACCAGATGAAGCTACTTTAACACTTGACATGGCTACCGATAATTTGATACAGCAAACTCTTGGGCAACATTTTTCTGATTGCACAGTCATTACAATTGCACATAGAATAACTTCTGTTAATAACAGTGAGATATGGTCCTACAATTTAATCAAGGTGAAAAGGGATGTTGTATTGTATTACATTATCTTTTGAATTTACAATGTACTTTTTTTCATTGGACACTAGTGCGGGACTAAATCTTTGCTTCAGCAGGTATTGTTTATTTTGTGTGTGAGAAACCTCACAGCTTTTTCCTTTAGAAAAGATGTCTCACTATGTTGAAGTGTGTTGGTGTTATGTATAAACTCCATTAGCCTCAATTCCTAAACAATATGAGACTATTATGGCCTGTCCAGAACAAAAAAGTAAATTTGGGAAATTGTAATGAATATATCTTCTTTCTAATTAATGCAATTTTTTATTTTGATAATCTTTATATATGCACCATAAATAGATAGGAGATAAATAACAATTATATAGCTCAGCAGAAAAGTATAGAAGTATATTCTATAAATTTATCTACCGATTGCAGTAGCCTCTCTTAAAATATGCACAATAGATGGGATCAATTTACTATCAGTGCCTACAAATCAAAGTCCTCTTAAACAGATATTTCATTCTATTCTGTTCCCCTTTCTTTTTTAAAGGTGGCATAAATCAAAACATTGGGCTACAATTTCAAAGATCAATCTGAAATTGCAAAGGAACTGACATTGAGCACTGGGAGAAATTGGTCTCTTCATGAATCCACTGCCATTTTACAGTTAACATAATTTACAACCAAGTTTACCCTAAAACCTGACGACCAAAAAATACGACAATTTTGTTTATCCTTCTTCTTTCTCTCTAACCTTCCTCCAAACTTTGATTTCTCCCATCATTTTTCCGCTGTCCATACAACAAAAAGTTTATATGCCAAGTTTGTTTTCCTATCTATTTACCTTGGCTCAGCTTAGTTCTCTTAACGGGTGTAAAAGAGGAGATATCAAACTCGCCAGAAGATGAACTAGAACTGGATGAGGAGGAACTACCGGTATCTAAGCCATCTAAGAAATTTGCAACATCAACGGAGGAAGTAAAATCTCTTTTGATAACTCCAGCAGGTTCGGCCACTTTTGTTGTAAAGTTTTTCGGAACCACTCTTGAAGAATTTTGCCCCCAATTACCTGCAATAACACATGAATTAGTCTCTTTGTTGCTTGTATTACGCTCATCTTCATCACTCTCTTTTCAACTTTAAAACAAAGGTAAAAGGGATTGAAAAGTGCTAGCAAAACACTTTTCCATTGGTTTTCAAATGGATTTCACCTAATCATGCAGCCCCACATAAATTTAGTGGACCAAGATAAATTTCAACCAATAAAAGAGTGTTAAAAAAAAGAGTGTGTTCTTAGCATATCTATAAAAAATATGCATATGCATAAACATGGCTGCCTATCAATTTATATATGTCCCAAGCTTTACTTTAATTGAAGTGAAGCTTGGGAAATGGATGATAAAATATGTCTCATTCTCTACATGGCTGCCTATCAATTTATATGTGTCTCATTCTCTACACTTTCAAAAAAAATGTTAAGTTATACATCGATAAAAAAATATACCACCAAACTTTTTCCCTCAAATCTTCAACCTACAGGGACTTTGAGTACACCGATTCCGCTAATCATAATTATGACAAACTCACAGCCTTCAACCTAAGACAAAAAAGCAATAATGTAATGTCCCACATCCCTAAAACCCTAAGCAAATTATATTTATCCCAATATTCCTCAGAGATGAGATTCAATTGTTTTAAGAGTAACAATCAAGAATGCATGTATAGTTAAGCACTTAAAATAGATAAGGTTAGACTAGGGAACTACTCTTGAAGCTTCAGTGGCATCTCCTACCCCAACTCTTAATATCTCTTATCTTTATCAGGAGTAGTTAGATTTTCATATTAGGTTATGTGGTTTTGTTAGGATCCAGAAAAAATGATGTAGTGACAGAGAATGAAATGACACACAAGAAGTTTGAATATAGGCTGTTTAGTGTTTATTATATGGTGAAAGGATTTACATTAGATTCAAAAATCTCAGATGCTCTTAAGGGGAGCTAAAAGCACTTCATTCTAATGATTAAACAATAATTCTCAAGATGCCTCCTAGATCCTCTTATTCACACAGCCTACCAAAATTGGTTAAGATCAATTCTCTCTCCTACTGCAAGCTCATAACCTCTCACGCATCCTTTAGTGCCCTCTTTCTCTTCCTAATGTAAACCTGCCAGGCCTTAGATCTATTAGGCCCAATTTGAGTTGTTACTTCTATCTCAGGCCCATCTAAAGGAACAGGGTTCCTAACAACACCCCCTCCTAGGAAAGCTGCCTTGTCCAAAAGGCTAAATTCAGGGAACTGATTCCTCATGCAGATAATGTCTTTCCAGGTTGCCTTCTCTACTGTTTTATCAACCTAATGAATGAGAACTTGATGCATCTGGTGTCCTTGTCAATAACACAAGTGGCCAAAACTTCTTCTGGTTCAAACTGTTCTGCACCACCACCCTCCATGCCCTGTGGAAATACCTGTTCAACACGATAGTCTCCTATTGTTTTCTTTAATAGAGATATGAAAGACCGGATGTACCCGAAATTCTGCAGGCAGTTTCAACTTATACGCCACAGCACCCACTCTTTTAATCATCTGAAAAGGTCCACAATACCTTGCTTCCAACTTAGCATTGATGCTGAAACTACTGAATTCTGCCGGTGAGGACGTAATTTCAGAAACACCCATTCTCCTATCTGAAAACTGCAACCCTTCCTCTTACCATCAGCAAAATGTTTCATACAATCTTGGGCTCGCTGCAAATGGGCCTTCAACTGTTTCAGCACTTCATCTCGATCCACCAACTCCTTTTGTACTGCCTCCACCCAAGTCTCTCCCTGCAACAGCCTGGTAAAGGCTGGAGGCTTCCTCCCATATACCAACTCAAACGGCGTGCTTACAGTTGATGCATGAAATGTAGTGTTTAACCAGAATTCAGCCTATAGTACCCACAAAATCCATGATTTAGGTTGATCAGAAATAAAACAGCGAAGGTCTGTTTCGAGACAAAGGTTTACCACCTCGGTTTGCCAATCGGTTTCTGGATGGTACGCTGAACTCAGCTGAGTACCTTGCAATCAAAAAACTCATTCCAGAAGTTACTAGCAAACACATGATCACAGTCACTTACAAGAGCTGTAGGCAAACGATGCAACCATATTACCTCTCTTGCAAACATTTCTGCCACTGTTTTTGTTGTGTAAGGGTGCTTCAACAGAATAAAATGGCGACACTTAGAGTTGGACCACCCACTAATATAGCTTCATATCCTCTTGACTTTGGTAGCCCCGTAATAAAATCTATCGATACTTCTTTCCAAACAGCTGAAGGAATAGGTAACGGTTGCAATAGATCTCCGACAATGTGGCTAGGTATTTTTTCCTTTGACAAATATCAGACTTGACATACCTTTGTACTGCTGCCTTCATATCTATCCAAAGACGTTGGCTGCCAAACGCCTGTAAATACGGTAAAAACCTGAATGTCTTCCCAAGGGTGTGGTGTGAAATTATTCCAACAACTGGAATTATTTTGGACTAAGCTGATATCACTAATCGGCCGTCATAGAATAGCACATCTTGCTTGTAAGTGAAACCCAGTTTTGCATCAGGTCCTCGATGATCTTTAACACTTTGTCACTAAGAACTTCATCCTGTATCAAACTTCCTTCCTCCTATACCGGATATGACATCAACCCATTTAATTCTCCATTTTCCGGTAATCTGGACAACGCATCTGCACCTCTATTCTCCATCCCCGGTTTGTACACTCTATCGATTGATTACTGTTCTGGACTGGGCCGGGCTGGCCCAAGAGCAACGATAAAAGCTCAATCCAAACGGACTTGCTAGGGGTCACGCCGACCTAAGGACCATAGCTATGCCCGACATACGTCACTGGGGCGACATCCTCGACCTCGTACTATCCTGCTCGACCTCAGCTCGAGCACTCCTCCAACAGCGGACACGGTCCACTGCACTCTCAACGGGACCCCGAAAAACCGCGTCCTTGTCCGCCCGCACTTCACGCAGGACATCCAGGAAGGGGACCACGTGCGGGTCCCCACTACGCACGTAGAACCTGGCAGTTCCTCCATTGGGCCAAACCTGCCCGACCCAATGAAGGAACCTTGGCCCAGCGCTGGGGGCTATAAATACCCTCTGTTCCCAGAGGGTCAGGTATTCATTCTATCACATATACTCACACTTTGCCTGCTCGTACTCTTACTTACTTCAGCATCGGAGTGCCTTGCAGGTACCCCCCCACCTCGTTCAAAACTTCAGCTCGGAGCCAGCCGTGACGGTCCAAGTCTGATCAGGTTAGATCAGTGGCGCCGTCTGTGGGAAACTAGCTTCCCCATCTTGCAAAACTCAAAGACCAAAGCTCAAATTCAACTACCGCTATCATGGCTGATCAAGCTCGCGATGAGCAGAACGTCCGCGTCGTCGACACCAACAACGGCACCGCGGACAAAAACGGACACCTTGATAACGTCGGCAACCCCGGCCACAACACCATTCCTGCGGCAACTGCCCCCGGAACTTCCACCTTCCGGGACGGAGCTACTGCATCATCTTCCTCGGTCCCTCCACCACTCGAAGACGACCCGGCGGCCCTCGCACACTACAGTGCTGCCCGGTTCCAGGAAGTCCCCGTCCCCGCCGGGGCGGATGCCACAACTCAAGCGCTGTTCGCAGCGATTAATCAAACGAACTATCTCATCTTCGCCCAAGGAGAGAGACTAAGGGCGCTGGAAGACGAGCGAAGACCCCCGAGGAGGCATCGGAGACCCCATACTCCCCCTCCTCGAGTGACTGAAGCTCGACACCCATCTCCCCCGCAGAGACGTTACAGGGAGACCTCTCGAAGCCAATCTCTCCGGCCAAAAGAGAAACGGCCTCATCTGGAGAGGCAGCCCATCATTCAAGCCGGAGAACCTAGTCGTGACCCGGCGAGACAAGAAAGAAGTTACTGCGGAGACGGACGTGTAAAATTCAACCACCGAGCATCCCGCTCGAGAGAGACTCAGCACGACCTGGACCGTCGTGCCAGACAGTACTACAGATACCCATCCCTGTCTCCGGAGAGAAGCGACGAGGACGACCCCCGCGGTCCCCTGTCACAAGCTATTATGGAAGCACCCATCCCCCCGGGCATGGAGAAGCCCCCTCACTTGAAGGAGTACGATGGAGTCGCGGACCCGGTCGACCACATAGACGGGTTCGAGGCTATACTTCATTATCACAATGTCGGGGGCCCCATCAAGTGCCGTCTATTCCCCACGACTCTCAGGAAGGCGGCAATGGACTGGTACAAACGACTCGTCGGGCTCAATCACCTCGTGGCGGAACCTGAAGAACCAGTTCATCAGTTCCTTCACAGCTTCTCGGCGGCATCCGAAGACCGAGGCGGCTCTCGAGGCCATCATCCAAAGACAGGATGAAACCTTGAGGGAGTTCATCAACCGCTTCAACCGGGAAGCCATACAGGTCCCCTGTGCGGACCATATGAAGAGATATTTGCTGGAGAGAGGGCTCCTCTCCGGCACGGAATTCAGAAAGGCCGTGGGTATCGAGCCACCTCGGACATTCGATGTCCTCCTCGAAAAAGCTCGGGCATACATGGACTACGAGGAGAGGGAAGCGGCCAACAGAGCCCGAGATTCCAGGACTCGTGGTCCTAACAGCAGCTCGCGCCAAGAAGCTCCTCCTCGATGAACCGGGGAGAAAAGGAAAGAAGACAGACCCCGGGAAGTCCGGGAACAAAGAGGACCTTCGGGGCGTTTCACCGAGTACACTCCGCTCACAGCTTCCCGCGAGCGCATTCTGGCGGAGTGTGCCAGCACTGATTTCAAGGACGGCGGTGTCAAACGTCCCCGACCTGCTCCCGCCAAGCCCGAAGCAGACAAGAACAAATATTGTCAGTACCATAGGAGACATGGTCATCTGACTGAGGATTGCGTCCACCTCAAGGACGCCATCGAAACCCTCATCAAGGGAGGGAGGCTCGCGCAATACCGGCGAAACGATACTCCCCGTCGTGACGCCCAAGAAACTAGAGAGCCGGAGGAGGATGCTCGA